GTTGGGAAAGTGTTTCCTGGGGGCATGGGCCACCAGGGACAGCAGGTGGCTCTTCTGGAATCTACGAGACCCAGATTGGACACTGGCTAAGGAAACCCAGTCTTGAACAGGAGCCTGGGAGGTCTGGGTAAAGAACTTGAACCCCCTCAGCCCCTGTGCTGGGCTCCCCCTGGACCTTCCCTCTCCCACACCTGGGCCTGGTACCCCACCTTGGCAGATTGCAGCATCTTGTCCCACCCAAATGTCCTGTTGGGAGGTCACAGAGGCTGGCCTCCCCTGACACCTCCCTGGGCAGGGATGTAGGGTGTGGTGGGCAGGCTTTCGGTGACCAGAGTCCTCATACAAGACCCTACTATGTCCTTCACGCTGTCACTCAGGCATGTGCTTTGTTCATTCTTGCATTCAAAAAACTTCAACTATGTTTCTGTTTGTGTTAAACGAGTGCTGGGTGCTAGGATCAGATTGAGACAGGTCTTTATCTTTGCTGTACAGGAGCTTGTAGTCTCTGATGCCAGAGAACACGTGCCTGCTGCACTGTCTGACTTAGTGGTCATGAGTTAGACTGCCAGGTTCAAATCCAGGTGCCAGCACTTCCTAGCTATGTGACCTTAGGCACAGTACTCAGCCTCTGTGACTCGGTTTCCTCATCTTACTAATGGGGATAATGATGGTGTCTACCTCATGGCTGCTGGGAGGGGCCAAATGGGTTGTGACATGTAAAGCACTGAGAAGGCCCCGGCACAGAGTGAGGGCTGTACAATGGCTCGACTGACAGTAAACAGGAACTGCAGTTCACAGGGTTATGCCAGGGTGGCTCAGAAATCAAAACTACAAGGATTATCATTTTTTCTTGGTAACTTTCATTTTCTCAAAAGGGAAGAAAATGAAATCCTGAGCAAACATGGGAATGAAAGTTAAGCTTGGTCTTGATTGGCTGCTGGTCTGTTGCTGTTTAAACTTAATTTCTCTTCCATAGAAAAAAACCAACCAGACAGCGTGGCAAAATAACCTAACCGGCCAGTGTGCCAGCCACCTCCTTCCTGTTAAACATTCACATGGGAATAGCTTTGGGGAAGCCAGCGCTGCACGTAGCATATGAGCCAATATTTCCCGCAGTTTCCTTTGCAGATAAATGCTGCCTCGAGTCGAAATCTGAACAGAATGGCCTTGAGATAGGATCGGGGGGGTGTTGGCAGGAGCCAGGGGGTTTGGCTGGCTCTGCAGCAGGCACAAAGTGAGATCCAGAGCAGTGACTGCTCTCCAGTCTTGCTAGAGCTGCCCTGACATTGACTCTCCCAGCCAAAGAGAGCTCAGCTGGTGGGTTTCTGTCTCACAGATACATCCATGCTGCGAACACTGGGCTTGCCCGTGGAAGAGAGGGGCCAGGCCATCATAACTCGTACTTCGTGCCAGGCTCTGGTTCTCAGGTCTTTAGGGTGAGGTGGGCCAGGGTGAGGCCAGCAGTTCCTGGGAGGAAACCTCTGACCTGTCCCTCCTGGGGCCAGCGACTACTAAGAACTTTCCATAGCAACCACCCCCGTCTCACATACATCATCATCCCCTGTGGGCCTCAGCACAGCCCCATGGGAGTACCACTGCCCCATTTTCTTGATGAGAAAACTGAGGCATAGCATGATTAATACCATCCTCAGGTCACATAGTTAGGACGCAGTGGAGCCAGGATGCAGCCCTAGATTCATCTGGACTCCAAACCAGAGCTCACAAGCCAAACCATTACCCACAGCATGGCCAATTCATCCCAGCCTGTTTTTAGAATGGTTTAGAATGGTTTTGGCATTTTTAAGTGATTGAAAAAAACTGAAAGAATAATAATATTTTTGGACATCTAAAATTTGTATGAAATTCAAATTTCGGTGTATATAAAGTATTATCGGAGCATAGCCACACCTTGTTTATGTATTGCTGTAATACATACGCTGCGTACTACAGTGGCTTGAGTAGTCATGACAGAGACCATATGGCCTGAGAAGCCTAAAATATTCACTCTCTGGTCCTTTCTAGAGAAGTTTGCTGACCTCTGTACTAAACCACTGTGTGGGCAGCCTCTGGAGCGGCTCTTGCTAAGGAGGGGTGTTTATGAAAGCAGGCAGTCAGATCTCCCTTGCTAAGTTCACGGTCAATGTGGAGAAATATGGGTGGTGTGATACTGGCTTTAGTGGATTTACAATGAACTGGAGGGCTGAGGGGTCTCTGGTGTGTGCTGCAGGGCTCTGTCTTCAGCCCTGTCCTGGCAACATGTGTAGGAGCAGCCTGAATGAGGGCATCTGCGCTGTGCGGGGCCCAGCCAGGTGCTCTGTGCTCCTTCCTCACAGAGCCCTGATTTGAGTCCCCTTCCACGCACACCTGGGTCAGAGGCCCTGGGTTTGGGGGTCAGTGCATCACCATCTTCCACTGGCTGCTATTAGTCCAGGGATGAGTGTGTGTCCTCATCAGGCTGAAGGGAAGGACTTCTAGTCCACGGTTGTTGGGAAAGATTCCTTCTCTGTCTCCAGCCTCCCACCCCCTTCTTCTCTTTCCTACTGGACACAAACAAGGCAGCAGCCACCTGCAGGCTTCCTAAGACAACACCAGGGTGTTGATACCATTGTGAATGTGAAGTGCAGAGTGGAAAGTAACAACATGGCGCTGCTCAGCGCACCCTGCCTGCCCTACCTCAGGCCTTCCCACTGGAGATGATCTCTGTTTTCCTTATGTTTTAAGCCATTTGAGTCAGGTCTTTCTGTTACTTGTGGCTGAAAACTCTCCCACGATATGGTGGCTTCCTGGCCTGGCTGGCAGGGGACCTGAAACTGTCAGGGGCAGGGGAAGCAAATGCCTGGGACAGCAAAGCAATCCGAAAAGGATTCAACAGGCTGCAAGGAGAGATCAGAGGGGAGATGGCATCACGTCAAATGCAGAGTCCTCCACTGAGGGCCTGCGAGTCGGCGCTGTGAATGCAGGGTGATGAAGGCCTGGCTGGATGGCCACATAGGAGACAGAGACTCAGCTGTGTTAGGTTGGGGCACGCGCAACAGGTGCGACAGTGCGATGGGATCGGCAAAGACACTAATCCAGTCTTAGCACCTGGGCTCAGGGAGTGGGGTTTCTGCGCTGCTCTGGCCCGACCCCCAGCTGGAGTGCTGTGTCCAGTGCTAGGTGCTAAGGTGTGGTAAGAATGTTGAGCAGCAAAAGCCTGGACACGTGACAGCGATAAGACGGTGCAGGGTCTCTATGTAGGTTTGGGGTCCCTGAAACGCAGACCCTGAGACAAGGATTTGGGTACAGCCGTTTGTTTGGGAGGTGTCCTAGGAACCTGGTGAGCAGATGGGGAAGTGGGGGAGGGAAGGAAGGAAAGCCAAGGAAGGGTTTTGTCATGAGCAGGCTGCCTCTGTGGGCAAGTGGGCTCCACTCAGATGAGGGCCCTCGGGAGACTGTGTAGAACACTCCTGCAGGACGTCATTCCCCTGGGGCAAGGGCCTAGGATATCTGATATTTGTGCACTAACACTATAAGTCATTGTTTGAAGTTTGCTCCTGGGGGCATCAATTTTCTGGCACTTTCAGCCTATTGCATGGTGGGCCGAGCCTGTCCAGGGGCCAGAGAGCACCAACAGATGTGGGGACTGTATAGTGGGGACCGTATGGTGGGGACCCTGTGCAGGTGAGCCCAGGTTCACGGTATCAGAACCTAAGCATGTTAAACTGGAAGAGAACAAATTCAGGGGGTGCACCACGTGGAGAGAATTTGATTCCAAGCAATAGACTAACTCTGGTTGACTTAAGCAAGAAATAATTTATTTTTGGTAAAACATTAAGGACTTCAGAGAATGGGGGGAAAAAGCCCCAGGAAGCCTGGGGAGTCAAGGGCAGGATGGAGGCAGATTTGCTGAAGGCCGGAAGCTTCCAGGAGGGCACATCTCAGACCCTCAGACTCCTGCTGCTCCCAGCTGCCCTTCACCTTCTCCCAGGCGAAGCAAGTCTTCCTGCACCTGGACGTCTGGAGATCTCACCTTATACCCTAAGCACTCATCAAGGTGTTGCATCTAGCAGCCTTCCTTGCTAAGAGGGAAAAAGAGGGAGTCTTCCCAGCTCGCCCTTCCTGTTCCTGGTGGCCACTCCCTGCTGCTCACCACCCTCCTTCCTTTCTCCCCAACTTCCTCGCACCTCCCAGGCCTTTGCCACGCTACCTCCTTTTCCTGTTTGTCTCCCTAGAGCAAACCCACCCGGCTCCATCCCCAGAGGACTGTGCCACTCCTGCGTTTAGTCCTGTCCATTCTCAGCCTCTGTGCCTGATGCTCACAGCAGATGATATCCCCTGGGGGTCAGGGCTAGGGGCAGACCCTGATTCTTCTTAATTTCTGACTTGCAGGCTGTGCCGCCTTCCTTCTAAGAAGGCGGCGGGCAGGGGATTCCAGGAGTGCTCAGGTCCACTCTGAAGTGCTGCGTGTGCTGTCTATGTGTCTGTGCAGGGGACGGTGGTGAAGCTTCTCAGAACTGATCCCCACGCACTGAGGATGCCTCCTCCCTCCCCGCTGGCTCGGGCTACTGCAGGGTGAAAGATCTGTCTGCTCGGAGCTGTCAAGAATGTCATGAAAGGACTCGCACCTCGGAAAAAGGGAGGACTCCCTGATGCAGTATTCGCTGCTGAAGGAAGAAAAGTGGAGCCCGGCACAGGGCTCCCTAGGTAGAGGGACAGATGGGCAGCACTCTGTGGCCTGTCAGCACCAGGCCAGCGATCAGGAGCAGCAGTGCAGGTCAGGCAGTGGCACCGGGTGGGCATCCACACTGGCCCGAGGCCTGTGCAGACAGCTCCTGGTGTGCAGAGCTGGCCAGAGGGGCAGAGCAGAGGCCCCATTGCTGGCTGGAGGCCGGCAGCAGAGCTGACCAGCGCAGAGAGCCTCCTGGGTCACACAGGGAGCAGCAGGTCGGGTGGCCTAAATGTTGGGCGTGGTGGGGGCAGGTGCCAGGCCACACCCCCTCAAAGGCTGGCTGTCTCCACAGGTCCACGATCGCCTGGATCGCTACTGCTGTGGCTTCGAGCCTGAGCCCTCAGACCCCTGTGTGGAAGAGAGGCTTCGAGAGAAATGCCGGAACCCGGCCGAACTGCGGCTGGTCCACATCCTGGTATATCTCTTCCCCGCCATCCCCCTGTCACCTCAGACTTGGGTTTTCCTGTCTCCTTCAGAAGATGCTGTGAACAAGTTTCAGAGATTGTCTGATGCTGGGGTTCCCCAATCCCATTCTCGTTAGCAGCAGAACCCTTTGCTTGAATAATATGTCCAAGAAGCCACAACATATAAAACTGACAAATGGACCTTTGAGAACGTGGTTAGGTGGAGTGTGGGGTGGGGGCTAGAACCCCGTTTTCACTGTCCCCACTTCCCCCTAGAGACCCAGGGGAACCCCTAGGGCTCCTGGCAGCAGAGTTTGAGAACTGTGTGTCTGGTCAGTGTCCCCATTGTGCCAGTAAATGAGGAATCGTGGCATGCCTGGGAGGGAAGGGAATTTCCAAGGCCACATGGCTGGTTGGTGGCAGCATCCGGGCATGAACCCGAGACCCTGCCGGCTCACGGGCTGGTGCTGGTCAGAGAAACACTGTGCTGCCGCCTGTTAAAACTAGAGCCCAGGGTGGGGAGCAATGCGCCGAGGCCAGCAGAAGGGCTGGCAGGGCAGAGTGGCCACTTCTTTTGCACAAGCAGCGAGGTGCTCCCTGTGGGGAAGGGCTTCGCCATCTCCTCCCGCGGTGAGCCCTGTGTGCTCCCAGCCTCACCTTGGCAGTTGCTCTTGGAGAGCAGCTGTCAGCGTGGGGCCCAGGGCTGAGCTTGCAGCAGGCCACGCCACCCAGAGGCCGGGGCTGCCTAGTGGCAGGTCCTGGTAATTCTCATCCCTTGTCACCAGAGCTATGTCTCCTTTTCCCTGGTCACAGGCAAGTATTCCAGGAGAGGTAAAGCTTTCACATCCACCCTTGCCCCTGGTGGGCAGGCGTTTCACAGATGCATAGGACAGCAGTTTTCAGAAGGCAGGGTTGTCAGGGTTGGAGAAAAGGACATTCCTGACGTGTGGAGGGGGTGAGGAGGGAGAAGAGGCAGAGACAGTGGAAGCCGGCGTCTTGGAGACAGAAGTTCACGGTCTCAGCCTAGGTCACTGGTGGGGGCTGTGGGGAATTCCCACGGACTGTCGCAGAATCCGTGGCAATGGAGTGTGTATGGGGAGGGGGCCGGAAGCGACAGCCTCCTGTTCCCGACCACACTGTGTTCTTTAAGGAAATGAAGACCTCTCTGTGGCTGATTTTAGGTTTGAAAAGGTTTGCCGGTGGAGACAGAGTGTGGTCAGGGCTCACCGAGCATAAAGGACAGTATTGTGTGTTCTGGGTGATGCTGGGAGGTGCCCAGGTGTGCAGGCACAGGGGGCACAAAGGGGTGGCGTGTGTGTGCACGTGCGTGAGGTGACAGCCCTGAGGAGCAGGCCGCCTCGCACCTGCCCATTCCTTCTGCCCTCCTCGCCCCTTCAGCCCCCAGAGCAGGAATCGGGCCCTCTGCCCTGCAGTTCAGCAGGCGGTGCTGTGGCGCAGCCCTGTGGGTCCAGGTGTGAACTAGCGCAGCTACTCAGCTGTGTGATCTTGTGCAAATCGTTTGACTTCTTTGTGCGTCTGTCGCTGCGAAATGGGGCTAATGCTAGTGCCCACCTCCTAAGGCTGGTGGGAGGATTAATTGAGATGATGCCTGGACGCACTTTACACAGGGCCCAGCCTGGGTAAGCATTCAGCTGTGGGGACCATTTGTGGGGTGGATGGTGGGACCGACAGCTCAGGACCCCCAGCCCCTTCACCCTGACAGGCCGTAGGCACCTGCTGCACCCTCACCCACCTCTGTCTCTGCCCATCTTCCCCCAAGGTCCGGAGCAGCGACCCGTCTCATCTGGTCTTCATCGATAATGCCGGCAACCTTCAGCACCCCGAGGACAGGCTGAACTTTCGGCTGCTGGAGGGCATCGATGGGTAAGGGTCAGAAAGGTTGGGTGGAGGTTCAGGGGCTTGATGGCCCTGCTGCAGACGTGGGACCTTGAAACATGGCTCCTAAGAAGCTCACCGTCCATCGGACAAAAGCTGTTGGATCTGAGCTAAAGGTTGGCAGGGGAGGCTGGAAAGTGAGAGGGGATACAGTTGGCAGCGCCGCCCCCGCCCCGCAGCATCCAGAGGGTTTCACGCACCTGCAGAGCACCAGCCGCACTGCTGGGGGTGGGAAGTGTAGCCCTTCTTTCCTCTGGGTGGGAGAGCTCGCCGGGGAGCGTGCATCTCCCTGCTTCTTCTGGGCAGGCAGCTCAGCCTTCCTAGGGCTCCTTCTGGCCCTGCATTTGCCCAGTGGAGGCCAGGAGCAGGACTGATCTGCCCGGCGTCTCTATGGGATCGGACCCATCTGAAAGCTCTACCCTGCGTTCACAGCACAGCCAGCCGAAAGGTCCTCGGGGAATGAGCTAGCAGGTGCGGGCCTAGGGAGAGGCAGGCCAGCTTTGCCAGGGTTCCTCGGCTGTGCAAGCTCTGGCCACCTGGTTGGCCTTTCACTGAAACTGTGAGATCCCTGACAGCACTTTTCCTTCCTGTCACGGGGACTTTGCTCCAGGTTTCCCGAGTCTGCCGTGAAGGTTCTTGCTTCAGGGTGTCTACGGAATATGCTACTCAAGTCGCTGCAGATGGACCCGGTGTTCTGGGAAAGCCAAGGCGGGGAGCAGGGGCTGAAGCGGGTCCTCCAGACCCTGGAGCGGCGAGGACAGGTGCTGCTGGGACACATCCGGAAGCACAACCTCACACTCTTCAGGGACGAGGACCCATGAGCCCACCACTGCCCAGGCAGGGCTCTCACCTCACAGTACAACCCTGGGTCGATGAGCCTCCATCCTGATGACCGCGTCTTCCTGGGGTCACCCATCTTGTGCACAAATGGGAAAAGCCAGAAACCAGAGGGGCACATAGATGTTTCACCTGCTTGGCATGGTGGAGGTGGCCGTGGGTTTTTAATCTCAATGCGTTCCTTTCTGCCTTCTTAGCTCTGGCTGTTCACTCCCCTGCACCAATAAAGACATTAAAACATATTCTGTGCACTGCTTCAGGCGCTGTGAAATTGTGCCTCGCACGTGCACATGCAAAGCTGGACAACGCTGAGTGTGTGTACAGGTGTGCTGATGTGTGTGGCACGTGTGCACGCCCACAGGCAACACAGGAGACAAACCTAAAGAATCTTCATAGAACTGTACTTGTGGCCCAGAACTGCTCTGGCTTAAAGTAGACTTGGGTCTAAGAAATGAAACGTGGAGCATTTGTCTTTACAGCCTCTACATTTTTAATTCTTACTCAGTTGTGTTTTTCGGTTTAAAAATTATAAAAGTAATACATGCTCTCTATAAATAAATTCTTAAATAATAGAAGCATATAAAATAAAAAGTGAAAGTCCCAGAAACTCCCTAGAGATGTGTATGTGTGTATGTTATTCACACTCACACTACATGCAAATTGAAAAATAAAAGTAGGCCAGGCGCGGTGGCTCACGCCTGTAATCCTAGCACTCTGGGAGGCCGAGGTGGGCAGATTGTTTGAGCTCAGGAGTTCGAGACCAGCCTGAGCAAGAGCGAGACCTCATCTCTACTAAAAATAGAAAGAAATTAATCGGACAACTAAAAATATATAGAAAAAATTAGCCAGGCATGGTGGCACATGCCTGTAGTCCCAGCTACTCGGGAGGCTGAGGCAGAAGGATCACTTGAGCCCAGGAGTTTGAGGTTGCTGTGAGCTAAGATGACGCCATGGCACTCTAGCCTGGGCAACACAGTGAGACTCTGTCTCAAAAAAAATAAAAAATAATAAAAGTGGGTCGTGCTCTGTTAACTCATCATGTTTACTTTGTTTACTACACTCTACACCAGCCATCTGAATGGACCTAATTTTTATTGATGAAGGCATGGAATTCCAGGGCATATTTTATTTAGCTGTTCCCATAATAATGAACACTTAAGTGGCTCCAGTTTTTCACTAATTATAAACAGTGCCGCCATGAGCATCATTGCATGGCATGCAAGTATTTCTGCAAGTTAGATTCCCATAGTGGATTTCTGGGTGAAAGAGTATGGACATTCTTTATTTTGAGAGAAACGGCCAAACTGCTCTCTGAAACAGTGGGATCCATTTACATGTCTACCAGGAGGGCAGCGGACTGACCGTGTCCCTGCACCGTCACCAACACTTGATATTCTCGGACTTTTTTGTTTTTTACCCATCTGATTAAAAAAAACTGCATTTCCAATACACATAACCTAAACATTTGTACCGTTGTAATATGCTGAAATAAAAAAAAAAAATTTTTAATTAAAATAAATAAAAATGAAAACTGCATTTCCTTAATCACTAATGAAGATATCTTTCCACTTATTTACCAGTCGTTTGCATTTTCTTTTCTTTTAAGATGTTTGTCCTTTCCTTGTTCATTTATTGGAGATCTTTGAATCTAATGAGTGTAATCAATCTTTTCCCTGTTAGACATGTTGTAAATGTTTTCTTCCAGTCTGTCAATTTGTCTCCTAACTTTGTTCATGAAGCCTTTTGCCAAGTAGAAAATGTTAATTTTCACATAGTCAAATTTGTTTATCTTTCCCTTCAAATCTTCCAGGTTTCATGCCTTCTTTTAGAAAGGCTGTCACTACTTGAAGGTTATTGAAATAATCTCCAATGTTTTGTTCTGGTATTTATACTGTATTTATTTTATATTCACTCTAAAGCCATACAAAATTTATATTCGAGAATGGTGTGAGTTAGAGATCTAACTTAAGTTTCATTTCTCCCCAAATGGCTAGTTGGTTGTTCCAGCGTCATTATTCAATAGTCTATTCTTTCTCTACTGCTCTAAAAATATGTTCTCATCATATACTAAGTTCTCATATGCACAGAGATCCATTTGCAAACTTCTGTTTTGATGTATTTTTTCAGTTCCTGCATGACTAGAACACTGTCTTAATTAAAATTACTTTAATTTTTTGCTATCTGGTAGGGTGAGTTCCCACCGTTTTATTCTACTTCGTTTTGTTTTTCTTTGCTATTTTTGTCTGTTTGTCTTTAATATGACAATGCCAGTCCATGAAGCATGCCACCCTTTTCCCAGTGTCCTCGAAATCCCATTGGAGCGCTGACTGGTATTTTGTTGGATTTATAGATTAATTAGTGGGAACCTGACATTTGAATATTGAGTGCTCTCATTCAGGGACTTGGTTTATCAATCCACCTATTCTTTGATAATCTCTAGTAACATTTTAAAGTTCTCTTCAACAAATAAGCTCATTTAAAATATATTTCATAATTTTTACTGGTATTGAGAATGAGTTCTTTGCTTCATTAGATTTTTTTCTAGATTTTTAAATGCATATCTTACAGTTTTTAAGTAGAAAATCATACATTCAAATAATGATAATTTTACATTTATATTTTACAAATGTGTGTGGGGGTGTGTGTATGCACACCTTTCATTTATTGCTGTTATCTTCTTATTTTGGTTGGGATCTCTCTGAATAATAGCAACAATAGCAACCATCCTCATCTTCGTCCTGACTTTCATAGGAACACCTCTATGGTTTCACCACTGACTATTATCAGGTTTAAAGAAATCATTTCAGATAAATATCTTTGGCTGAAAACTGCTCTAGGGACCTGGTACAAGAGGAGAGGGCATTGGGAGAATGAGCCCAGAGGCTGCCTGCAGGGTCACCTAGAGTAGGGGCTGTCCATGTGAGGCAGGGGTGGGGAGAAGAGCAGCAGGAAAGGCTTGGCTGTGCAACCCAGACGGAAGCCCTGGGCATCCAGGGCAGCTTGGCACGGGGACTCCAGGTGTGGGGTAGGAGGGCAGGCAACGATGGTGAATGAGGTGGGACCAAGCCATCCCACAGGGTTTGGGCACCAGACTCAGGGGGTTTGCTTGGCAGGAGATTTGTCAGTGGGATTTAATCAGGGGAGACAGGATGTAGGAAGATAATCAAATCCTCTGCACACACAGAAATTTGCTATGTCTCTAGCATTATCATCGGCAAAGAAATGGTGATTTCCTGCCCTGTGCTCCTGGGAATGGTTGCATTCTTTTCTGCATTCTCTGAAGCCTAGTGGGGGAGACTGATAATCCACTTCCATACAAAATGAGGATGGATAAGGTGCTGGGCCACAAGCAGAGGGAGGGGACATGAGGGAGGCCCTCAGAGGAGGGCACCTGGGAGACGTGGCCTGAGGGATGTGGCACTAACCAGTAGCGCATCTCATTAAGAGCTTCCCGGGTGTGGGCCAAGCCTGTCGTGCACATGGGCTTACTTAATCCTCCAAACAAACTTAGGAGGCAGGAATTTTATTATTCCCATTTTACAAATGAGGAAACAGACCTTGAGAGGTGAATTAACTCACCCCAGATCCTGTGGCTGGGAAGAGGACCCAGGCTCCCACCCCTGCTCTCCTTGCACACTCCCTTCTTGGGCTGATAAACACAGTTGCCTTTCAGCTCAGGCAGCCTGTCAGAGTGACTGCCTGCTGCGCCTGGGAGTCATTCGATCCCTGGGTCCCTACGGGGTGTCCAGGCACCATGTCTGCAGCTCAGCTCTGTGTCTGGGCAAGTCAGACCTTCCTCTTCACTTCGGTTTCTTCAACTGTCCATGAAGATAAATGAAGACCTGAACTCCTTACCTCTGACCTCTCATGTAAGAAAATGTTACTACTGGCATCAATTATTAATAAAAAATTATAGAAACTCTAGTATTTGGGGCCACTTTCTCATGCCAAGCTCTTAGCTAAGTGGTTTACTATTGTTAATTCTTTCTAGTCCTCTCAACCAGCCTAATAAAGTGGATACTGTTGTCACCTCATTTTACAATGGAGGAACTGAAGCACAGAGAGGTTAGGTGACTCACCCAAGGTCACATAGCTAGAGAGCAGTGGAAGAGAGACTTCTCCCCACTCTCCTGTTCTTTTTGCCGACATCCTTGAGGATCTAATCTTGAGGTTGGCTGTCTCCCCTGGTGTTTTGTTTTCTTGTGCGGTGGATACTCTGGCATGTGAGCTGGTGCCCGGGGTAGGGGAGCCTTTCTCTTTGTTCCTCTGGGGTCTCAGTAATCACTAGATGGAGGTGAGTCTTCCCGTTCACCTGCAGCCCTTGGAGCATGCAGGGGGGTAAACTCGAGCCTCAAATCTGTGCAAAGGCAGGAATGTGGCTACCGATTTCCAGGAGATCCTGGATTCCCCCAAACCCCAGCAGCCCCAAGCTCCTGCTCTGGCTGAAACAGACCTGCTTGCTTGTTGTCTAGCTTTGCTGGGAGGGTGGAGGTGCAGATTTTTCTTGTCTGCCCTTTCCTTGGGGGTCTATCCATCATGATGTATCTCTTTTCCAATGTCTTGCCTCAGCAGGGCTCAAGGCCTGGTGTCCTGTCCCCGCGTGCCCTTAATCTGTAAGTTCCCTCCTTTGCAGAGCCCAGCAGCACAAGCACGGCCACATTCCATTCCTCCTTGACCTGCTGTCGGTTGTGTCTTCAACATGTGGCCTCTACAGGTTCCCCTGTGCTCCTGTGGCCCAGCCCCGCATTGGTAGACCTTACACAGCATGTCTTCATCTCTCATAATAAAAGCGTTGTTGGGTTCTACAGCCGGACCAGAAATCGAGCCTGTGTGCGTGCTGTCCATGGATCGCCCGTCCCTGCTCTGTGCCAGGCACTGCCAGGCACATGGCACTCAGATATGTTAAAACTCACACAGCCCAAACGGAACTCCCGATCTGTCCCCCACAAACTCGCTCCTGCCTTCATCCCCCGCCCCTGGTTCA